TCCATGATTTTCCACTCTGGTAGCAAGACAGCCATTAATTGTTGCAAGCAAATCTCCTGCTGGCATGTCATTGGAAGAATGGACTGTTTTAAAGAAAGGATTTGAATCTATCGTGGATCCATTCGAGAAGTGTCACTATTACTCCAAAAGATTGGTTACTGAATGTACTATTCTGACAGTATGGAGTCCTGTAGCTCAGTGGTTAGAGCACTCGCTTTGCAAGCGAGAGACCAGAGTTCAATTCCAGGCAGAGGGCGAAACCTTGGGCAAGTTTCCTTACTCCACACAGAGCCTAATAATAATCCCTCCAAAACCCAAAACAATAATAAATTGGTCATTTTCAATCTACGACTGTTTGTGGGACATTGCTGTGCGCAATTGGCTGCCGCGTTCGCCCACAAATCTACGGTCAATTCACTTTACAGTGTGTTCTGTGAAGCGCTTTGGGACGTCCTCCCGACGTGAAAAGCGCTATATCAAATGCAAGGATTATTATTATTATTATTATAACCATAAACTGCTCATTCCATTGACACTTTCAGTGAAAATAGTACAGTAACTGTTGACCAGTCTGCGATGACAGGTTTTGGTAAATACTGTACTCAGTAGCTGTACAAACATATCAGTTCATGTAATCTACTGCACTTCTTGCTCTTCCATCTCCTTAGATTTCATTGGGGTTATAAATACAACCAGAAATAGATGGAGAGTGTTCCTAGTGCACATTTCCTGTTACCAAGATTCAACTCCTGTTGCATTCATTGAGTTTTTGAACCTATCGTGTTCAAATTGAAACCCATCGCACTGTCACTTACAGCTCATTCGTTCACAGAACCTCCAGTTGTGAAACTCACTGATAATATTCTCCAGCAATCTACAAGCTTTTAAAACCCAAACACTTGTTTTTGATTTATGTGTTTCTTTTTTTTTCTAGTCTTTTCGACTATGGTGGTTCCTGTCCTATAAACCTTGGTTCATCATCAAAATACATACACATGTATGGGCATGAAACATTATCAAAACACCTAGATGACATATATGGGTATTAAGAGACCTGATGGCAAAACATCAGTAAATTTTGATGTTAGTGTAATTGACATGCAGCTATTCTGAATGTTGATTTGGCAGATACTAAGAATAGCTTGTAATCCGTACCACATGTAGGAATTATCAAACATTCAGGATGTTATATAAACTTTAAGTGGCCTACTTTAGGCTTTGAAAAACATAATAACCTGGGCACAAAACAATCTGATGAAACAACAATAGAATATAGTGAACATAGTGAGATAGCAAAAGACATTACAATCTGAGTAGGGTTGAGCACATTGCCATGAATAATACAGACCTATCTGGCTTCCCCCCAGGTTGAGCCTGCTAATTTCTCGCATGGATATTTTCATATGTGGTTTCAAAGGGATATAAAGCTGTGTGATTCACTGGGATTGAAACCCAAAATCTTCCAGTCCAAAATCCAGTGCTCAGACAACTGAACTCCTGGGATGTTATTTGCCAAAAAGAGATTCATCATTTAAAAAGGAAGATAATGATTGCTGTAATTTACTTTGAACGCTTTGTAAATCATTTTTACTTGTGCATGTGTTTTAAAACCCACAATAGTATGATTAGAGTTGATGTTTTAGAAACCTATTAAAAATGGATTGGATATTGACATTATTAAGTACAAAAGAATCCTGTTTATTTGAATTAATTATTAATTAAGTCCCAATTTTCTTTTTATGGCTGGTATAATTTTAGCTCCTGATTCCTTAACAAAATAAATACTCCATTGTTCTTGACTAATAAATAATTCACTTTATTAATGACATTTAGGAAACAAAAATATTGGTAAGAACTTTATAAATAACAAATGTTTACTGTCCACATTCCTACATATTAACTAGCCATCAGCTGTAAGTTATCGAGCAAACAGTAATCATCTAATTCAATTAGGACTAAAGAAGGTAAAATAATAATGTAATAATCTTTACATTTGATACAGACCTTTCACAACGGGAGGTAAGAAATTTAGACCTTCCATGGTGGTATTACCTCCAACTTACTGTCACAAAATTTTTATTTAACCTTCTTTCCACCATTCTTCTATCCTAACGACCTAGTTACTAGCTCACCTGAAGACACAGCTGACCACTTTTGGTTCATTTGTATCATGTAATCTCTGAACCAACCAAACCTCGGCCATATTGTTGTTAACCTAAAAGCAAATCAGAGTTTTACATTTAAAAAATGTGCCACAAAGCCTTTCTCTTTTTGGCTCTGCCCCTCCCCTAAAATGGGAAGTAAATTGTTGCTGCTAAGGGGTCAATCAATATTCTGTCTCTTGATTCTTCAGTTTTAAGTCAATATGTGGTGTCATTTGCCCCAGGACATAATGGAGGAATATCTGGCCCAGTGGTAAAATAAGTACCAGAAGCAATTTTGAAAAAAACAAATGGTTTGTATGTTTCCTTGATCCAAAATATCTGGAGGCCTGTAAAATGAAATAGCTTGTGTTGTATTAAAACCAGTTTAAGTAATCCCCCAAACCATTTCTCGTTCCTGGTTTTCCCATCAGGAGAACAGCTTTACTTCTGTCGTACACTTCATTTATATTTTGCAAGAGGAGGAGGAAGCAACTATTACATGATTATCTGAAAATTAGACAATAATTAAAACCTCACCCAAATATTGAATTGGAGGTCTAAAATTCAACCATCGTGATATTCTCATTAATATCCTGTACCCTGGTGCAGAACTAAATGTTCGTAAACAGTATAGACTTGAATGATTGCTTTATTGTGACTCTTAATTAGGTTAAATCAAACTGCACTATCCATGCTGATAGTGAATGTCTGGGTAAGTAAGGAGTCGTCCCATGAATCTGAATTCAAACAGTGATCCTAGATGTGCATTGTCATTTTCAAACACTATTTTGCTCTGTACCTCTCCATCGGTCCTGATAATTTAATGTGGCATTTAACATCCGCCAGGCAGCCTCATCCACCTGCCCCTTGTCACTCACCACCACACCCTCTCTGTTCCACTCACCTTCCTCATCATCTGCTCCTACCACCAACCCCATTCTACATTCCTTCCTCCCCATCTCTCCCTCCTCCCTCGCACCCACCATCACCTCCATAAAACCCACCACCTGCTGCCTCGACCCCCTCCCCACCAACTTACTGGTCACACAGCTCCCCCTCCTCTGCCCACTACTGGCTGACATCATCAACCAGTCCCTCTCCTCCGGATCAGTCCTCGACTCCCTCAAACCTGCTGTCATCACCCCCCTCCTGAAAAAACCCTCCCTCTGCCTCCTTGTCCTCCTGGACCTCTCCGCCGTGTTCGACACAGTCGATCACGCCATCCTCCTCCACCGCCTTTCCTCCGTCATCCACCTCAGTGGGACCGCACTCGCGCAAACTTCCTTCAGCTGAAAGTTGACAAGACGGAAGCCATACTCTTCAGCTCTCATCAACGTCTAAAATCTCACGGTTCTCACCTCATCCACCTACCCGACCTCCCACTAAAACTCTCCGAACCCGTACGCAACCTTGGCGTCAGGTTCGACCCCCAATTATCCTTCCTCCCCCACATCCGGTCCCTCACCAGCACCAGTTTCTTGCACCTCCGACGCATCGCCCTTCTCCGCCAATACCTCTCCCCAAAAGCCGCTGAAACCCTGGTCCATGCCTTTGTCACCTCTTGCCTGGACTATTCAAATGCCCTCCTTGCCGGTCGCCCATCCACCACTATTCATAAAATCCAAATCATTCAAAACTCTGCCGCCTGCATTCTCACCCGCACAAAACTCCGCTCCTCGATCACCCCAGTCCTTGTCAGACTGCACTGGCTGCCTATCCCAGAGAGGATCGATTTCAAGATCCTCACCCTCGTATTCAAGTCCCTGCATTCCTCTGCACCCCCGACCTCTCTGGCCTCCTCTCTCCTCAGCACAGTACCCGTTGCCTGCGTTCCCCCCGGTCTGGCCTCCTCTTCATCCCCCGAGTCCTCCGCTCCACCCTCGACGGCCGTGCCTTCAGCCACTATGCCCCGAGGCTCTGGAACTGCCTTCCTCACTCCCTTCGTCTCACTCCTTCCCTTCCCATTTTCAGGTCTCTGCTGAAGATCTTTCTTTTTGACCGCGCCTTTGGTCACCTTCACCCCCTCCTCCCCCCCACTTGGCTCAGTCCCGGCATCCGAAACTAAAGCACTCTGAGACGCCATCCGGCGTGGAGGGCGCTATATAAATCCATTATAAATATAAATCCAAGTTCTTGTTGTTGTATTTTGTTGTTGAAGTGCTTCATGTGAAGCCTAAACTTGTTGCATAATGTAATATGCTACAATAGTGCTGTATGCAGACCTTAAACTAAAGTCCGCACAGGTTCTGCCCTTACGCCTTTCCCACTTAGACACAACTTTCTCATATACATCGGAGGAAAGTAATTTTTGAATCTAGTTATCAAATAACTGTCCATACATGATGGATGGAAAGAACAGAATTCCCTCATAAACAGACTTCCTAGAGGCAGTAGCATTACTCATTTTCCTCTGTTGGACAAGTTGGTAATTGAGTCAGGAAAGTTATTACACTCTTGACAGTTTGTGAGAATGACAAGAAAGAGATATGTACGCTGGAGAGAATAGTACATTTGAAGCACCTTGCGGTTCTGCATGCTTAAACTAAGCATTACTACAAATGCGCTGGGATGAGATTTGGTGAATATTTCCCTGTCTGTCAACATAAGAACATAAGAATTAGGAGCAGGAGTAGGCCATTCGGCCCCTCGAGCCTGTGCCCCGCCATTTGATAAGACCATGGCTGATCTTCAGACCTAACTAATTACCTGCCCTATCGCCATTTCCCCTAATCCCTCCATTTTTAAAAAATCTATCAGTCTCAGCCTTAAAGATGTTCTGGGATAGTGAATTCCATAAATTCACTATCCTCTGAGTGTAGAAATGTTTCCTCAACTCTGTTCTAAAAGGCTGACCCTTAATCTCCTCCTAAATCTCTTACAGTAAGGAATTATTACTCATTTCTTCCAAGGTTACTGACTGTGCAGAAATATACGTGTTAATCATCTCAATGGATATCTAATTCCTGATGATATCCTTCTCCAAACAAAATGAATCAAAGAATGCTGACCAAAGACAAGTGTCATGCTGAACATTTTATCTAGGTAAGATTTATTATATGGAGATTCCTATCTCGTTTTTTCCTGAGTGTGATGAGTTATACAAATCAAAGGGATGTAATCTGACGTTGTGAGAATTGACAGATGACAGCCAGTCTTCTAGTGTGAGGTGTATTTACTTACTCACTGGCTGACAGCAAAATAGCGCTGAATAAATTCAAGAGTGTGTATCCTTTGTGGACTTCGAAGGTATTTTTGACACATTTAAATCGATATGTATTGTTTGTGCTCGGTAAGTTAATGCCTTCACTTTTTCATGGTAATTCACCTCCAACTGCAAATGACAAGATAAAAGAAATTATGCTAACTTATCACCCTAATAACCATTAATGAGGCACTTAACCTTTGTTAAGTAATTTGGTTTATAGCCAAAGGCAGCTAAATCCAGGGGAAAAAATTTAAGCCTAAAGTTACAGGAATGAGTGGTGTGCCCCCATAGAGAAAAAAATACAGGAACATAATTTTTGACATAAATTTATAGAAAGAAAACAACCTTGCATCTTTTCACTTCAACTAAAACAATGTTTAGAGATTAAATAACACTAGATTGTTGCAAAAAAGAGATTAAATTTGGCAGTAGTAAGCCATCATCTGGGAATATAGCCATAGAATTCCTGGAGTATTTTCTCTCTCTCTGGTAAATCAGGTTTTTGGTGTAGAACTTAACATCATATATTTGTGGTTGTGTAAATTATGGGTTTAAGTTTTATACACCAAACAGGAAATCAATTTTTTATTACATATGGAGTCCAGTTTATGTTAATAGTATCATTTGGCATTATTAACACAAACTGCACTCCATATTCAATCAAGAATTGATGTAATCAAGAAACTGTTTGTTTAAGTCAACACATAATCATGTTTGTTTTTTTATATAAATTATACATTGGACCGAAACCTTTAAAAGTCTCTAAATTTAGATGATGAAGAATATTGCTGTATTTCAGGACACAGTGGTTGTATATTGCAACTCCAATGGTCTAACACCTGAGAGATGATGTGTTATTTATGGTCGAAACTAATGCAACTTGGATATGCTCAAGCATTCAGATCAGTGCTGCTCAGTAACTGTCCATGGTCCTGGAAACCCAGCCTCACTGCTTCACTGATCCAGTCTGAAGTCAAGTCATTCTTCAGTAAGCTCATGGTTTGTTTTCTCTCCACTCAGACATCAATTTTAATACATGTGTACACCTTGGCTGTGTCCAGCCAAACATTTTCTCACTTTCAATAATAAATTAGACTCAGCACCTCTGGCAAATGGAGGCCAAGTAAACTACAGTTTATTTCTTCATAAACGGAGCTGCATTTTGTTTCGTTTTTGTAAAATGAAATAACAATATTGCTTAGCTAGATTTAGGAAGTATTGTATTTCTCCAGCTGCTTAACAGTTCCCAGTAACCAAAACACACCCGTTTTGCACCATTCATTTGCAACAAAACTCAACAAATCAGCACACATTTCAGAATGGAGGAAGAGAAGCCTTGTAGTTGCAGCAAGACATTCCAAAATCTGCTTTAATTGTTGGCTTGAGGTCTTGCAGTCTAATGTTTATAATAATAACAATACTTGCATTTGATAGCGGGCCTCATCACATGGTTCAGACATCTCAAAGCGCTTCACAGAATATATTGTAAAGTGGACTGACTGTGTATTCTGTGGTCTGTCATCTGTGTGAGGGAGGAAAGTTGAATAAGTTTTCCCACTAAATTACTTCATTAAGGCTATCTTATCCGGAAAGTATTAAAGTGAAAGACTCCGGAAGTCCAAGGACAATGATGAGCAAGAAGCAGGCAGGACTCCTGGGTGTCAAAGAAGTTAGATCATCTGTCACCCATTGTGAACGGCTCCTTTAGTAACTGTACCATGAATCAAATTGGCAAACTAGCAATTGATTGCAGGCAGTATCTGTCAGGTATCAGAGTTACTCCTCGGATTCATGCCTGGCTGAATCAATTATAATATCAGGGATATTCAGTGACACAGCTGGAGAGAAAATCTAATCGTTACCCTTGATGGCAGCGGTGGTGTCAGTAACATGATATTAACAAGAGTATTATTTTGTTAGTCTGACATGATAAGTATGCATCTTGTTAAAGCAAAACAAGGTGGCAGCATTCATAACCAATGCACTTTTTAGCACAAACTGTGTAGGACTTTGATAAATTGGATATTTTATTATATTCATATGGGAGGCAATTATAAATGTTCCTAGAATGACATCCCAATTCAAAGTAATATGAGCAGCAATTACATCCAACGTTGTTGGGCTAAAACCAAAAGGAAACAATGGTTTTTCATTTGTGTATCAGCCTGGCTCAATAGTTGGAAGCACTCTCGCCTCTGAGTCAGAAGGTTATGAGTTCAGGCACCAGGCAGGAGCAATAAGATTAGATGAGATTGAAGTTCCCAAGCAAATGACAGAGGAAAATTATTGTTTCTAATATATTAATGTACTGTAAATTAAAGTCACAATACGTCACTCAAAAAATCATGATAGCACAGTGATTCTTCGTTACATAACACTGCAGTTGACTTTCCTGATGGCTCCGTTGGGAAAGGGCGAATCTTTGCAAGTGTCTGATCTCACTTCAGCCCCAATACGCTAAACATAAAACATTAGGCAGGGTTCCAGGATCTGGTTGCACTCCAGTGACTGCTGACTGGAAAATAGATGTTGAACGAGGGAAGGATCGACCAGAATGAAATAGCCTGAATGATTCCTAGTTTGCCAACACTCACTATCTATACTCAAAACAAAACAAAATAATCACTTGGATGAGATACTAGAGGCAGAAAAAGTCATCATAATCGAGCACTTCAGGAACAATGGGAGAATTTTTAAATGGAAAACAAAACACTCCATCTTTTTAATTTAATCTTAATTGTCCTCCTTTAACGAAGAGTGGCATGTGTGTATAACACTTCTAACATTTATTTCTCGCAAATCATTGAAGCTGAAATGGTGAGTCTATGTTAAAATGGATGGTGAACTGAACCCAATAGACAGACACCAAATTGCACAACAGAGTACTAGAACATCAAATAAATATGGAAGAACAGATGGCAAGCAGCAAACAAATATCTTCAATCGCACTTGCTCTGTGATGCACAGTCAGTCATGATTAATCTCATTATGCTAATTATTTGCTCTCTCTTTCTCCATCTGTCTCTTTCTGTGATTTCTTACACTTGTTGCTGACCATTCTTTTCTTCTCCTATGAACTCAGTCTCTTGTCTATTTCTTTCTGCATCTTTTACTCAATCTGTTGTTCCCCAATTTCTATGTTCATCTGTCTTTAAGTCTGTCACCAACATCTTTCTAAGCTGTTTGGTCTTCAACTGTATCCATCTCTCTTATTCTCTGTCCTTATAAATACCTGTACTTGACATTTTTCTTCTATTTGTCTCTTTTACCCTATTGGACTAATTTGTTTTGGATTACATCTCACTATATCTTTTTCTCTCTTTGCCTACTTCACTTTCCTTGTTCTCTTTTATCTCCTCTTGTTGACCATGCCTTGATTTGAATCTATTGGATCTGAATGATCTATCTGCCACCAACTTCATGTCGGTCTGAAGAGTGTGACCTTACATTCAGTGTCAGACAGCATTGCCAGAGAATGTGATCACATAGTGAGTACTGGGTCATATTCTTGCAAGTGAAGTGGTAGATTCACTGAGAATTTGACGATTTCCTGTCAACAGACATCAGTGAGGATTCAGCTTGTGACAGATTGTTAATGAATGAAAGGATCATTTGAAGCTGCGATAATCAATCAGAACGTTAAATGCTATAATTGAATGGTTTAAAACCTGTGGAAAAAATTGCTTCTTTTTGAAGATTCTGATGTTACCAAAAAAATGTGATTGATTGAAAATAATAAGAATTAACTCTTAGTGCTTCACAGAATATTCTTTAAAGTGAATTGATTGTATATTTTGTAGGCGAAACATGACAGCTAATTGCACTGCAGCAGTGTTACATGAAACAGTCATGGATTGAATGTCCACTTTTTTTTTGTAGAGATTGATAACCCGGAAAGCGATCTGCCAATCCACTAACAACCGGGTTCCTACTTTCTGCCAGATAAACAGAGGAGTATGGAGTAAGGAAACTTGCCTAAGGTTTTACCCTGTCCGGGAATCAAACCCGGATCATCCCCTTTGCGAGGTGAGTGCTCTAACCAATACGCTACAGAACTCTAATAGTGGTGTAACATATATTATGATGTCTGAGGAAGAATTTAACCAACGTTTTAAATATTTACCTTGTTAATGTATTTAAATTGTTCACTTAATGGGCCATGTGTGATGAATGCAAATTGTTAACCAGTGTTTATGCCTTTCAACAAATTTAATGTTATGCAGACAATTGTATCTTATTTACTCTCTCATTGCACCCTCTCTCCTTTGCAACAACATCTGTAACCTTGTGCTTTAAATCCAGTTACCCGATTTTGTTTATTTAGACATTCCAAAATAGAAAGAATTGTAATCTAAACTGATTGAAGATTCTGATGTTACCCGCAAAAAAATGTGATCAGTCCTGGTCACATTGATTGAGCATGATAAGAATGCTTATGTTTATCCCTTCAGGCTGTTCTGTAAAATATGGCACCAATAAAAGAATTCAAGAAAAACATTTGCTTCCAGTTAGCAGCTATTGCTTTTCTCTTTTGTTCACAATAATTTCTTCCCTTTCAGCTATGTGAGCATCATTAAAAGCAAACACTGTAACAATTGTTTTCTCAGACAGACATTAAAATGAGCGCTAGACATTCTCTCAGCATTGCAATCTCTTAGTCCGGTAGGTATAAATGTGATAAAAATGTGTTTCTTCAATTAATGATGAGACCTTTTCTCTAAGGCCAGAGCTAGAAAGCCCCAGATGTATTGACACACTCTGGAAAATCCTATTGCTAGCTTCAAGGTTTTAATCTTTACAGAAATGGAAGCTGATGCCTCATATTGATGTACAAACTCATTTACTATGTGTTGTCATTTTTCTCCACCAGATTCCTGTGGGTGTGAATCAGTCTGCTATTTCGTGTGTCCATTTCTTCTCAGCCCACTCGAACAATACAAAATGCAATACACAATCACATTTGTAAAGTGCCTTTCACGTCGGGAGGACGTCGCAAGGTGCTGAACAGTCAGAGATTAGGACCCGAGCAGGGGTTGGGGGTATCAGGGGAAGGTGGAGGACGGGGAGGGTAGGAGGGAGAACAGATTTATTCTGGAGATCTGTCAAATGCATTTCATACAATAGTTAACAAAATGCATTGTAAGAATGTGGTGACTCTATCTCTCCATCTCTAACACTGGGGATTGATAACTTGTTTAAACATATTTACTATTTGCTTCTTTCCCCTTGTCCGTTGTGTTGGACTTTGCTAGAGGAAAATTACTGTCTTAAAACCATCTGCTAACAAATAAGGAAAAGAGGGAAATGAAATGAAGAGAAGTGGCTCAACCCAATTTCACTTTCCCAATTGTCACTCTCCAGGTGAGGAAGCCTTGGACATATTGGTTGAACTTTCACAAACTGGACTGCAAGCAAACCTCAATGGTGATTACATCAATGTACAGAATGCACTCAGGCCAGCGGGGTATTCTTTACATTGACAGAAACAAAAAATTCCTCAAGTCGACTCTAGATTTGCTCAATTCATGTAGCATTTTGGAGTGTGCAAAATTTGATAAAGGTTCTTTTTTATTCTTAGAATACAGGACAGACAGTCGTAGATTACGTAACGATTTTCCTGCTTGTTGAGTTTTTTTAAACCAGTTGTTGGAAATATATTTTCGTTTGATGGTTGATTTACTGTCAGTGATTAGTACCATAAGGGACTGCAGTCAATATTCTGGATGGACAATATCATTGCAATAATTGGGTGGTAGTTTACCCTAATTATCATATTGTTACTGGTTAAATAGCCTTGTCACGAGCAAAGATCGTTCCAGGTTGGAGCTTTTATATTCAGCAGTTCTCATGCTTGGATCAATGTCAGCAGTTGATCCAATCCAGAACCCAGTTTTGGCCACTTCTGAAATGGGCTCCTTTTATATCACACTTTGCCTCCAGATACAGGCTTAACTCTGCAGCCAAAGAGATACAGTAAACCTCTGATAACTCTTCAGTCCAAGGGAAAATGGCTCAGTGAAAAATTATCCAGAATAAAAAGCGAGTTAGGCATATGTATCAATATATAAATAAATGCAGCTGGGATATTGTCAGCATGATAACTTAAGTGGTAGTGACACATTAAGGCAGGATAGAGACATCAGGAGTTCACTGTAATATAAAAGTTATATAAAACAGCATCAGGAGTATATTCACCAGTAATTGTTAAATATGTTTCAAAAAGGAATAATGTTTCAGTCTTTTATCTTCAGAGTTTACTTATTTTTTTAAAATTTATCTCTAAACTGGGAAGGAAGCCAAAGGGAATTATAAAAGAATAAACGGTTAGATTTTTTAAAAATGGTAACTGCATCTTTTGTTAATAAGAACATGCAGTAAAGATGCAGTCTATGCACTTTGATGGTTTGGAATTAATCCAAGTTAAGATGATTAATGAGTCAGAAAGATATTAATTTAAATATTCTTCTGCTTCTGATGTCAACCATAGAAGGTAGTAATAATAATAGTAATAAGAACAATCCTCGCATTTGATAGAGCACCTTATCATGTCCTCTAGACGTCTAAAAGCGCTTCACAGAATATACTGTAAAGTGAATTGACTGTATATATTGTGGGCGGAATGATCAAGTGCTTTATTTTTATCCTCTCTCTTAGCAACTTGCTATTATCTGGTCAAGACGTTACTAACCCCCACGTCTGTAGAGTTGTTTTTCTGTGATTGTTTGTAGCTGCACAGAAGAGTGACACTATTTGTTAGTTACTAGCCCCTAACCAAACTGAATCATATAAATTAACGTACGATCGTTTTAACTATTAATTATTTTTCTAAAGTACTGTAGATAATATGCATCATAAACATTCGGCATGTTGCTGGCAAAAATCCTTGTAATTCAATCAATTTGGCTGGTGGAACTAGTTTTTCTGTTCCAAATGGACATTTAAGATTGTAAAGGGTTAAATAGAAGAACAAAAAGTGCCATTTTTCTTTTTTCTAGTCAAGCTATTATCTTCCGTGCGCTTCATGTGTCATTCTATTTGTCATGTATGCGTGGTTCCTTCTGTTTTCCCATCAAGTATAATGAGCTGAATATTAACTGGCTCTCATCCCTTAATGAGCAATGATAAGGCCAGAGCCATCTTCTAGCAAAGACTTAAACAGTAATGAGCAAAAGAAAGTTAAGGTTGAAGTGAGATCAGTGTGATCACAACATTTATAATACTTGACTTATGAACTGAAAAGAAAATATTGAACATCATTTTAAGATTTTTTTTGCATGCTTTGGCATTTCAGTAAAGAGTATGCTGTCATTACAATAGGAGAGCAATGCTGTAAAATAGCTTTCGGAACAGCCAAGAAAACTTGGTTGGAAAGTTTTGCTGGAAGTCATCTGTGTTGCACGTGAGAGTAAAATTCATCCAACAACAGACACACATATCAAATTGATGACTTGATAAGACGCTATATCAAATGCAAGGATTATCAATAATTTTCCACCCAAAATAATTTTGGATGTGCATCATGTGTTTAAGTTAATCATTCACATTTGAATTCAATCCAGTTAATCACACATATATTAGAAAATCCGAGGGTTTAATTCATTAATATCAATTCCTTGATCAGCAGTGAAGCCTTAACAGTTCCAGGAAACGCGATCAACAGGATGACGCCAACACATTGGACTGCATAGAAAGGGAAATGTCTAATCCCTTTAGACGCATTATTCTGTTGGATTCATGCATATTCAATTGGATAAGCACTAAGTTATTTCAAACTGTTTCTTGTGACAATAACTGGAAGACAATTGCCAAATAAATCTGCTCAGTGTGCTGTGAATTGCTGCTTCCCTGTGTTCCTCCCTGTCTCACTTAATTCTTCCTCTCATTCTATTTCGTTCTGCCTCACTTTTTGTCTCAGTTTCTCATTATTTATTCCAGGCTCTTTCACTCTGTTTTTCCCATGATACTATTTGTGAAGAGAGAGCAGTTTCTTCCCGTGTCCTGACCAACAATCCTCCAAATAAAACTGGACACTCCTTTCATGGTTGTTTGTGGAATATTAATGGGTGCAGTTGTTCTGCTGCATTTGCCTATAAAATACAGTCAGTCTATTTCACAGTGATTCCTGTGAAGTGTTTTGAGACATCCTTCCCGACAGAATAAGGATCTATACCAAATTCAAGGATTATATTATTATTGTATTATAGTAACAATGGCCACAACCTTCCCCACTGAATGGAGGGCATCCATAAAAGAGCCAGTGCTACTAAAAATGTTCTACTTTTCTGCACTGCGTAGATATGAGGGCTTCAGGTGCCCAGTTGTTTATACCAAGCTGGTGAAATAAAATGGATTAAGTTTAACATGACATTATATGGATTAAGGTTTAGTTCAACATGATAGTAGATGGAAAAACAATAAACTACTGGATATATGCCTTCTACTGTACATTCAAATTCCTATTCATAATTGACTTTCACACTTGGATGTTCACTGAGAGGCGAAATCCAGCTTTGCACTAGCTATTTGAAGAAGTGAAAGCCATTATTAATTAGAGTGATCATTTTGGCAGGTTAGCCAAGGATCAATGTAGTATATATAGACCCTGAATAATTTCTTTAAAATGTTCTTAGCAAGACAACCGCAGTCAAAAGCCTTCAGTCAAAACATTTGAAATGGTCCTTCTATAATTTGGAATACCTAATAACATAAAACGTTGAAGTACATTAATCTTTCCCAACCTTTCTTGATGAGCTTTAGCAATGGTGACTCACTCTGGGATCTTTTATGCATCACGGCTATATCAAGTGATGCATAAAATTATGCAATGTGCAAACTCAAGTGTATAGAAGGAAATGCAGGTTTTCTTAATTATGTAAGTATCAACTAATAAACGTT